TCTTTAATAAACAGCAGAGAACCAAATCTATTACTGAGACTATAGAAGTTGAAGCTATTTCACAGTTAAAAACTTATCAGACCTAACAATCTTCTTAGAGGACAGGGGTCAGTAGGCACTGAAATCTGTTATTCTTTTTTTTTTTTTTAATGTTTATGCACTTTTGAGAGAGAGAGAGAGAAAGAGAGAGAGTGAGCAGGGAGGGGCAGAGAGAGAGGGAGATACAGCATAGACACAGCCTGAAGCAGGCTCCAGGCTCTGAGCTGTCAGCATAGAGCTCGACACGGGGCTCCAACTCAAGAACTGTGAGATCATGACCTGAGCTGAAGTCGTAGGCTTAACCAACTGAGCCACCCAGGTGCCCCATGAAATCTGTTATAATTCTTATACTAAGCTTCATAGTTACTTAAATCTACACTGTCCAAGTGTTTTTATTCTATGACATATTAAAGAACTTAGAGACACACTGACAATCAGTCCTTTAATAACAATTCTCACCTCAAGACCTGGAAGGAGCCTTTCTAGTTCTTCTGGAATGCTCTTTGCCCAAATATCTGATCTGCAAAGCCATTCAAACGTCATCTCATTAGAAATGCCTTCTTAGTCCTTCCCACTTAAAAACAGTAAGCCATTCTCAATCACTCTATTTGGTGTAGAGTTCTACATACATAATAGCTCAAGGGAATTGTACAATTTATGTTCAATAACTGCTCTCTGCTTCTCTTTCTCTCCGATTCAGTTTTTGAGGGGGAGAAATGTGTATTAAAACCTCTAACTATAATTGTTGATATTTCTTTTTCTCCAGTTCACTGCTTTTGCTTGATATAATGTAAGGGTATGTTAAGTGCATATAAGTTCAATAATAGATACTTAGTATTTTTTTCCAGATAAAATTGACATATTAGTCTCAGGTGTACATGATTCAAGATAGATATATACATTCATATATATATATATGTATATATATATATATATATATATGATGGCAATGTTTAATTAGCATTAAACATAATTATTAACATTAGTTAATAGATATATACTTAGTATTTTTTTCCAGATAAAATTGACATATTAGTCTCTGGTATACATGATTCAAGATATATATATATAATCGCAATGTTTAATTAACATCATCACCATACAGTTAAACATTTTACCATTAATTTTTTACAGTTTAATTTTCAGCATTAAAAATTCATTTTTAAAAAAATTCATATTTTTTAAACCAATATACAGTTGAACAAAGTAGGGGTTAATGGTATTGACCCCCTACACAACTGAAAATCCTGAGGTATTGACTTCTGACTATCCAAAAACTGCTAAGCCTACTGTTGACCAGAAGCCTTACCAATGACAAAAAATTGATTAACATATATTTTGTATGTTATATTATACATTGTATTCCTACAATAAAGTAAGCTAGAGAAAAGAAAATGTTAAGAAAATAATAAGTAAAATACTTCTACAGTACTATACTGTATTTATAAAAACAAGTCAATGTATAAAAAGATCTATGCAGTTCAAACCCATGTTATTCAGGGGCCAACTGTGTAATAATGTCTCTGTTATTATATTTTGCATTAAATTCTCTTATTTGGACTACTATTCCACCTTATTTTGGTTCATTTTAGCCTGCTATATCTATTTCCATCCTTTTATTTAAATTTTTGTTTTTAGGTGTCTCTTGTAAACGATTAATACAACCAGAATCTTCTATTTGGTTATTTAACCCATTCATATTTACTTGTAACAGTGCTACATCCAAATTTCTGCCACTTTATTTTCCATTTACTGTAATCTTTCTCTGTTCACTCTTTCTGTTTCCCACTAGACAAACTGAGTTACTTCTCATTTTTGTTTTACATTTTATTTGTATTCTTACGGTAGTTTTTATAATCAAATTCATGTTTGTTTACTCAATTTCTTAATCTTTTCAATCTCTGTAACTTCCTTTTAACAAGAGGCATTATAGGGGCACCTGGGTGACTCAATCAGTTAAGCATCTGACTTTGGCTCAGGTCATGATCTCGTGGTTCATGGGTTCAAGCCCCTTGTCAGGCTCTGTGCTGACACCTCAGAGCCTGGAGCTTGTTTCGGATTCTGTGTCTCCCTCTCTCTCTGCCCCTCTCCCTGCTCATGCTCTTTCTCAAAAATCAACATTAAAAAAAAAAAAAAGGCATTTTAACTCTCTTGTATGTCTTAGTCAATACCTCCAACTCCAATCATGATAGTAATGCCTAGAATTTTAACAGTTGTAAAGTTTCTCTAAAGATAACAGTACAGTTTACAAAAATACTTGATTACTTTTCTTCCATATCTCTTGTAGCATCTTCCAGATTTTGTATCTTTTAATATTGCTCCGAAAGCATTTTTTGTGATAACATTTGTAAGGAGAAATCTTCTGAGGTCTGTATACTTGAGGATATTTATGCTGTCGCATTCCAACACTAATTTGGCTGGATATAAAATTTTAAATTCGAAGGCATTTTTCTTCAAAAAATCCAGAGGGAATGTTTTCTTCAATATTCAATGATGCCTTTCATAAATCTGCTTCTCTTTCCTTTGAGAATAATCTGTTCTTTTTCTCTGTAAACTTTTAGACTATTTTCTCTGATATTCTAAAATTTCACTATAATCAACATTACTCTCATACTGTGCTTGATTATTCTTCATGGTAGTTATCACTACCTAATATCATATCCTATATGTTTCTCTCTCCTCCCACTAGAAAAAAAAAAAACTCCATGAAAATAGGATTTAATTTTGTTCACTACTGTGTATGTCATACCTAGAATAGTGTGACACATAATAGGTGTTCAATAAATACAAACTGAGTTATGGTTCTTTATCTTCTAGGCTTTGCCCATGAAACTCATTCAGTTCCTCAAGAAAGAAATCACAAGAAACTTGAAGCCAAATTCTTAAATTACCACATTATGCCTTGACTCTGTGTCTGTTCCTATCTGTTCTGATAAACTTGGCAGGTTCACCCAAGACAAAGGACTTCTCACTTTTCTCTTGAGACTAGACACTTATCTAAGTATTTGGGTCTCAGATGCCTGTCCTTTAGCTTTCTGAACTGTAAAGGGCAATCTGCCAAGGTCGGAGGCAGGCAGGGTGGAGATAAGAGGTGGAGGGTGTGGGGGTGTGGGACATGACACACCCTTGCCTCCCTTAACTAAGAAGGATCCCCAACCATATCCCAGGATTATTTAATGTTTACACTCAAAGTGGGATGGGAGTAGGGAGAACAGATACAACCTCTATCCACTGACTAGATTTCACCCTGTATCCTGCCTTCCATACCTTGAACCTGACTCCTCACATTTCAAGTGTATCCACCCAATAATTCTCAGAAACCCTAAATGATCCCAATGGAATACTTTTTAAAAGACTGCTGCTGCTGCTGCTGCTGCTGCTGCAAAAAATAAAAATAAAGAAAAAATTTAAAGACTGCCACTGCAGCACAAATTCCACATTAATTACAATTAACGGGAATCTCTATGCAAGTGGCTTCTTGCTGAAAGTAACATAACACATTACAGATTTTCCAGGATTATTTAGTGACAAAGGTTACCTAGTTCTAAAATTATTAAAACACTAAAAAAGAAGTCAAGCTGCTGTGGCACCAGAGTTTATTGGTAGGTGTTTATTCTTTAATAACCAACTTTCTTTTTAAAAACTTGTAAAAATTAAGATGATTAAGTTTTTATTCCCTCAAAGAAAAAGGAAAAACATCTTGTAAAAATATTTTGTGTGAAGTAATAACACAAATACAAATAAGCAACTGTGTACAAAATAATTTATTACAGCATATATAGGTTGGCATTATTTTACAGTGAGTTTTTTTTTCTCTTAACAATTATGAATCTAAACAGCTTAGAGTGAAGGAAAATCATTTTAATTAGAATGGCTTCTCTAAATAAAATCTCCCTTTTTGAATTTGTATTTGCCTCAAAGGGAAGTATTAATATTAGACATATTTACACAATTCTGAAAGAAATCTACTGAATGATTCCATTATTGTTTTCTGTACAGACAGAACAAAAACCTTTACCCCCATCCAAAAAAATATTGCTGAACCATGTTTTAATAATTACACTAACAAGAGTTTTAAAGTCTCATTTTGCTGATACAAAAACATTTAATAGTCAATGCCTGGCTGTAATAGTAAGAACGAATGTTTCCTTGTCATTTGCATTCTTCCCGATTATGATCCCTTGAAGCACACTGTTCAGATATCAAATACTTGTTGACACGCAAGCAATTTAGTCAAGGAAGCGTAAGTCTTACCCGGGAGTCTTTAAAAGACTGGTCTAGAGATAGGCAACAAACTTACCAGTGAATTTCCATGATTAAGAAGCAAACCAATCCCCACATTCTGAATCATCTACATAAAACTGGAGTACCCTTACTCAGTAGAAAGTATCATTTTCATGGATACTAAAAAAGAAGTGGTAAATCACGAAAAAAATTAAGGTGGAAGGAAGGGCAAACTGAAATAAATTTTAAAATAAACCCCAGCGTCTGCCAAAAAAAGTTCCATATTGTTTTTAACAGTTAACACTTTATAACTGACATGCTTTAATTAAAAGGCAAGCAAATAAACAAATACAACAAACCAGTAAGAGATCAAAACATTGTTTCTGAAACCAGCATCTAAAGAAAATAATACAGTGGGGCTGTATACAACTTAGCTTAGTAAGAAATTATATTTATGATACAGAAGTGACAGCACCCATCACAATGCTGATAATTTGAAAGTTTAAGAAAACTGTACAAGTATAAACAGGTAATTTTTAACAGATGTTTATGTAAATTGGCAGAGTCAGATAAAGAATAAAATAAGCTTACAGAATACTCCATTTAAAAATTCTATCCAAAAAAAAAAATTCTATCCAATTATTTCATTTCATATCTATATTAAAATACACCCTGAAAAAGAAACCCTGATCTGAATTCAGCTCTGAGTCTTACAGGAGTCAACCTTCTGTGGGATTTCAAATCTCATTTGCCAAGACATCATAGTTAGCTGTGTGGTTTAGTGCCACATTGTGACTGTCGACCTCATTCACAACGGGCAGGAAAGCGGAAGTAAAAGGAAGCAGGTTATGACAGGCCATCCTGTATTCTTCATACTGGGAATTACAGTTCCCAAAGCTGCCATCAAGCAGTGCCTCAGAAACCTTTATTAAAGTCTATGAGAAAAGGGGAAAATAAAAATTATTTTTAAGAGAAAATGTTGGTTAACCATCACTTTAATCAAAAGATGCAATTTGTTAATTAAGCAAAAGAAAACTGGTGTGGCCTCAGTGTAAAAGAACTTCTTGCTACCCACAGTAAGAAATCACCTCAAAACAGGAACACTTTAGAAATCAAATCGACAGAGCCTTAAAAAAGCGATATGCTTCTAATACTTTAAAAAGTGAATCTCTGAACCTAATCACTAAACTGGAAATATCCTTTATTAACAACAATCAATAGTTCCCATGTACTGAGTGTTTACTGTGTGCCAGGCAGGTGCCAAGCCCTTCACAGTTTATCATTTCAATTAACCCTTAAACCAAGTACATGAGGTCAGTAGTACAGACACCTCGTGTTATTGTGCCCGCTCTGCTGTGCTTTGCAGATACTGTGTAGCAACCCTACACTGAGCGAGTCTATCAGTACCATTTTTCCAACAGCATTTGCTCACTTTGTGTCTCTATGTCACATTTTGGTAATTCTTGCAAATATTTCAAGCTTATTCATTATTATTATATTTGTTATGATGATCTGTGATCAGTGATTACGACTCGCTGAAAGCTCAGATGATGCTTAGTATTTTTTAGTAACAGGTTTCTTTTTTTAAATTAAGTAGGCTCCACACCCAACATGGGGCTTGAATTCATGACCCTGACATCAAGAGTCACACCCTCACTGACTAAGCCAGCCAGGAGCACCGTAATAAACTATTTTTTTAATTAAGGTATGCACCGTAATAAACTGTTTTTTTAATTAAGGTATGCACATTGTTTTTTAGACATAACACTTTTGCATACTTAACAGACTACGGTACAGTACGAACAGAACTTTTATAGGCACTGGAAAACCAAAACATTGATTTGACTCACTTTAGTGTGATATTCACTTTATTTGCAGTGGTCTGGAGCAGAACCCACAGTATCTCCCAGGTATGCCTGTATTTTCACCCTCGTCGTATGAGGAAAAGGAAGCTAAGAAATGGAAACTTGCCTAATGTGACCCAGATCCAGACCCAACTCTGAAGGCCCACTTAAGAATTAGGTTGTAAAGACACACATTTTGCCAGATCACTCAGTATCCATCAATTTGTAAAACTTATTCTGAAAAATCTTACCTTTACATTTTTATCTTTTATAGTTTCATCCAGTCTAGTGGCAATAGCAATTGCTTTTTCTTGCCTTGACTTGTCCAGAAAATACATCATTTTAGCACCTGAAATACCAAGACACTACAAAATGAGCAAACTCCTATATCTTACAATTGATTTGATTGACATTAACCAGTGGCTTAAAATCTGGTTCCAATGACTTAAAGTCAGCAGTGAGTTGGAGCTGCCTCCTACCAGAACTTGTGAGCCAGGTACAGTGTCTCTTCCCAACTCCCAATTTAATGGCATCCTCTTGACAGCCTGGCACCACAATGGGAGTGCTTGTAAATGGCAAAACACTACAAAGCAGGGCTTCTGTCACAAAGAGATGGTTGTTAAACATTTACCAGGAGACCAGATTTAACAACCGATCCTTCCCCAAAGAAACACTATAACTGGAAATATAAATATGGGCTGCCCTGTAGTATCAATCGACATTTCAGCTAAAATAATTTTTTTAAGATGATACGCTAAAGTAATACATCTAAGGAACAAATTACTGTCACAGAGAAGTGTGGTGGAGGGACAAAAGGAAAATGGCTGCATGTTCACAAAGAAAATAAGTATTTTTTAAAGCTTTTTTTTATCCTTATTCCTATGTAATTTTTCTGCATCTACTGAAATGATCATATGGTTTTTATCCTTTCTCTCTTACTGATGTGATGTATCACACAGACTGATTTACAAATAGTGAACCATCCTTGCAAGCCAGGAAGAAATCCCACTTGATCATGGTGAATGAATTTTTAATGTATTGTTGGACATGGTTTGCTAATATTTTGTTGAGGACTGTTACAAGTATGTTCATCAGGGATATTGGCCTGTAGTTTTTTGTTTTTTGTCTTTATCTGGTTTTAGTATAGGGTAATGCTGGCCTCATAGAATGAATCTGGAAGTTTTTCTTCCTCTTCTGTTTTTGGGAATAGTTTAAGAATAGGTATCAACTCCTCTTTAAATGTTTGAAGTCGCCTGGTCCTGGACTTTTGTTTGTTGGGAATTTTTTGATTACTGATTCAGTATCATTACTGGGTAATTAGTTTGTTCAAATTTTCTGTTTTTTCTGGATTCAGTATTAGGAGGTTATACGTTTCTAGGAATTTGTCCATTTCTTGTAGGTTGTCCAGTTGGTTGGCATGTGCCTTTTCATAGTATTCTCTTACAGTCCTTTTTATTTCTATGGACTTGGTTGTTATTGCTCCTCTTTCACTTCTGATTTTGAGTCCTTTTTCCTTTTTTTTTTTTTTTTTTTTTTTTTTTTTTTTTTTTTTTGAGTCTGGCTAAAGGTTTATCAATTTTGTTGATCTCTTCAAAGAACCAGCTCCTAGTGTCATGGATCTGTTCTATTGGTTTTCAGCTTCTATTTCATTTATTTCTGCTCTAATCTTTATTATTTTCTTCTACTAGCTTCGTGCTTTGTTTGCTATTCTTCTGTCTCCTTTACGTGTTAAGATTAGGTTGTTTATTGGACAGTCTTCTTGCTTCTTGATGTTGCCCTGTGTTGCTATCAACTTCTCTCTTAGAACAGCTTTTGCTGCATCCCCAAAATTTTGCACCATGAAATGTGTTTTCATTTTCATTTTTTTCCATGTATTTTTTATTTCCTCTTTGATTTCTTGGTTGACCCATTCATTGTTTATTACAATTTTATTTAACCTCCATGTATTTGTGTTCTTTCTACATCTTCCAGAAAATGCTTGCATATTCACAAAGAACATATTTTTAAAGCTATTTTTCAGTAAAATTCAGTTTACATTTCTCCTGTAAATTTTGGAGATTTTTGTTTCACACCTGGGGTATATGGGCTCAAAGCTCTTAATTTCACCATTAGTTCCAGCTAGGGTAATGGGATAATGACCATTTTGGGTAGTGATGCAGGCTCACAGCAAGCTGGCTCATTAATTCACCATTCACTAAGCTACTACGCCTGGCTCTATACTGGACAATGTAGGAGACACATTAGTGACCAAGACAGCTCCAAGCCTTGCCCTCAGGGGCTCCCAGAACAGCACATCAGACAGTGCCAACCAGTGTGTCAGGACTGGGATGAGGAGGTACAGGCAGAGGGGTCAAGGCCAGGGAGGGGGGAAAGGGGATACTTCTGGTCAGCAACACCACAACGTATGGTGTCTCTAAATAAGACCCTTTGCTGGGCACTGGGTACACAAGTGACCAAGAGAGATGTGTTCCTTCCCTTTCAGAATGGAGGCAACCAGTATTCATTCAATTAATAACCTCTTTCTCCATAACGGTATCTCCTGGTCCATGTTCTATGCTCATTTTTCTACTGGCCTTTAATCAATTTATATTTTTTATTGCTCATCTATAAGAACTCTACATATATTATTAGCCTTTTATTAGTTATGTATCTATAAATATTTTTTTTCCAATTGGCCTTTTGACTTTCTTTTTTTATTTTTTATTTATTAAGTAACCTCTAACCCCAACATGGGGCTAAGAACTCACAACCCCAAAATCAAGAGTTGCACGCTCTACCCACTGAGCCAGCCAGCCTGGTCTTTTGACTTTTTTTTTATGGTGTTTTAACTTTTATGTGGCAACATTTAACTTTTCCTTAGAATTTCACATAATATTTGGGGGGCGCCTGGGTGGCGCAGTTGGTTAAGCGTCCGACTTCAGCCAGGTCACGATCTTGCGGTCTGTGAGTTCGAGCCCCGTGTCGGGCTCTGGGCTGATGGCTCGGAGCCTGGAGCCTGTTTCCGATTCTGTGTCTCCCTCTCTCTCTGCCCCTCCCCCGTTCATGCTCTGTCTCTCTCTGTCCCAAAAATAAATAAACGTTGGAAAAAAAAAAAAAAAGAATTTCACATAATATTTGGGAAGGTATTTCCCTAAAAACAATAAAAAAATGTTTTCGTCCATTATCCTGTGTTCTTGAGGAGAAGTTCTTATTTCCCTTTGTACCAAGAAGTTGCAGTTTTTCACAGGAATTAACTTTTTTTCCCATAGACATCAGAATCAAGAAGTTTCCCTTTAGAACAAGAAAGCTTAAATTAAAATATTTAAGTATATGCTTAACATAGGAGCTTAGTTAACTATATTATGTACTTCATTTTGTCTCCAATTCCTCATCCACAATCTTTTGTCCAGTTTACCATCTTGTCCATCCAAGCCATTTTGTCATTTTATGAAACTGAATAAACTCCCTAAAATCCTTCTGTACAGGCAGGATATAAGTAAATCCTCAAAATATAAAATATGGCAAGTAATAAAAACACAAGAAAAAATAAATCACTCATAACCACAACACACGAAGGCAACCATTAAAGCTTTCATATGTATTTCTTTTCAGCCTTTATCCCATGTATTATTTTTTACAGTTGAAATTATATTGTATGTTACTTCTGTGTACGTGTTATGAAATTATTTACCCCCATTATTACAAATCATACAAATTAACATCCCTTTACAGGACTGCTGGGTTTTCCATTCCACTACAAACCTGCTACTATTTCCCCTACTATCAGACATACATCAACTTTGTTTCCATTCTTTTCCCCACACTTACAGCATTTCAGTTAACGTCTTTGCGCTTAAAGCTTTATCTCTGCTTTGGATTAATTCTTTAAAATTATTTACAAAAGTATGATGGCAGCGAAAATCACAGATAATGTGACGCTCCTCATAAGAGGACAGGTTGCTTTCCTAAATGGCCGGGCCAGTTTACATTCACAGCAGCGAGATACAAGAGTGCTTACCCACATCTTTACCGTACTTCCGTCTCCTTTTTCCAAACAAACAGACCTTCCTTAACTGGAAAGATCAAAAATGGTATTGCGTTCATTTCTACTTCTAGGATAACTTGTGAGGTTGAACATCTTTCCAAATGTTTATTTTCACCACATTCTAACCCTTTCCAGAACTGTTTTACCCCTGGGAGTCCAATACCAACCTGAAAGTAGATGCTGAAGAGAGGTAGCATTGTGTCTGAGAAAATCCTCATTAAAACTTTCCAAATCCTTGTTGACAAATATTTTCTGCATTTCTTGAGATAGAACTTTACTCACAATGTCTGGAAGATTACTATGATTAGACACTATAAAAACAAAACATTTGGAATTAAAAAAATTTTTAATCTATCCTTTGAAACAAAATCAATGGAAATACATTTATATTTGTTATTAAGCTTGATACATTTCACACAGTAAAAATATTGCTCCTTTGGAATACTAAATATATTCTAGCTTAAAAATGCACTAATTTCTAACATATCTTTGCTAGCATGTTTAATTTATAAACATACCATAAATATTATCCTTTCCTTGCTTTACATTATTGCAAATCTCTTTAATGTCCAGCTTAATGAGAGGCCTCTGAACTGTCATACTTGCTTTTACATAAATATTACCTTTTTTCATACTTACCAGATTTAGAAAATTTAATTAAGCATTCATGTAACCATGGGTTATTACTGTTGATGGCAAAAGCTCGTTTGACAGACTGCAGCATTAACAGAAACTTCCCTGTGTCAGAAAAACATGGAAAGGTAACAGCATCAAATATTTATGTATGTTATTTTAGTCACTTTATTTTAGCCTCACTTAAATTCCAGTAACAAAATGTTACCTTTCCTATAACATTCATAAGTAAAATTCAAAGCTGACTTTGGTTATCAAAGACAACTTTTATTTTCTAAAGAAAAGTTTGAAATCATGTAGAACTGCTTCAGGTAAACAATTTGTATGACTGTTCAAACTCTTCTTAAAAGGGATTTGAACATAATTTTCTAACTAGTTACCCCAGAAAGTTTTGAGTAGCAAAGGAAAAAGGGATTGGGAGCCTTTTGTGGAAGGCTGAAATGGATCTTTAAGAAACAAAAATCAATCTAACTTGATAAAGATTATGCTGAATATGGTCACCAATATAAGTAAGGATTAACAACTGAATTCAAACTATTACCTTTTCTAAAATATATTTCAAATGCTAATAGATGAGTGTCAATGTTATCAGCAACAAGGTTCTTAAGAGGTATAAGGAACTTGATAGCTTCTTCTAATGGATTTTCTATCTATTTTGAAACAGAAAGGAAAATTATTACATTTAAAAACAGCTACACAAGTCAGTTTCCCCCAAAATCTCATATTAATATGTCTCTAAAGTAATTTACCATTCTCTGTATATGACGAAATAAGCAAGAAAACATTTTAAAACTATCATCTGTAAACAAACTCAAAATAGTAATTTCAAAATGGATATGGCTCTATTGTTTCTTCTGATTATAAAATCATTATAATCTCATAAAAATCCAAAAAAATACAGGAAATTATTCCATAGGCTTAAGGAGATGGGACACCAAATACTGATAGCCCCTTATTCTTCAAACATCTATAGTAAAGAGGCAAATATAACTGTATCATGTGATTGGAAAAAATGACAAATTTGAAATACTTACACTAGATTCTATAGTGAATAAACCTGAAAACTAAATATTTCCCTAAACCTGGTCCCTAAATAACTACCAACACTTTGAGAAAATCCCAGCCACGAAGTGCCTTCTCTTTGTAGCTAAAACATATCAATATATATAAAATGTTTTCAGATGTAATAATTATATTGCTGCTGTAACACATTACCAACAAGTTAGTGTTCATAAAACAACACCTATTCATTATCTTGCAGTTCTGTAGGTCAGAAGTCCAACATGGGTCTGGCTGGGCTTAAAAATCAAGGTGCCAGCAGGACCACCTCCCTTTTGGAGGTTTGAAGGGAGAGTATGTTTCAAGGCCCTTTCAGCTCCTCAAAGCTGCCCACAATCTCCATTTGTGGCTCCCTCATTCCCTCTTCAAAACCAGTAACAGGCTGAGTTCTCCTTACAGGACTCCAACCCTCTCCTGTCTCCCTCTACTCTAAAGATCCACTGTGATTACATTGGGCTCCCCAGACAATCCAAGCTAACCTCCTTATTTGAAGGCCAGCTAATTAAAATCATAAATCCCATCTGCCACCTTTATTCCCCTTTGCCATGTAATGGAACATATTCCCAAATTCCAGGGATTAGGATGTGAAGAGATTTAAAGGGACATTATGCTGCCTACCACAACTACAATTCTACATATAATCTGCATTAACCAAAATTTGCGTATTATCACTCAAAACTGACTAGTATCATGACCTTGAAATATTACAAACGGCTTCTGATCTACAGATGTAATTAAAACATGTTCGTGACCAAAACAGAACCAAGTAACATAGATTCTACCAAATTAAGACAGTAAATTTATCTCACCCTTTCTAATTTTTCAGGTATAAGTTCTTCTTTGAGACCACTGCCTTCTTCTTCTTCTTCATCTCTTTTTTTCTTTTGATTTTTTTGTTGACGTTCCCTTTCCGCATGCTTTCTCTCTTCTTCCAGTTTAGCCTTTTTCTGAGCTCTTCTCTGCTTGCTAAGCATTTTCTTCAACTCTTTGGCTGACAAGTTTTCTACAAATATCCAAATGAATACAAATTCTAAGTCAGTGTTTCCATGTTCCTCACATTCTTCTGCAATACACAGTATGAGTACAGCTTTTACAAGGGAAAAGGGGGACGAGGCAACGATATGGAGGTTTTTAGGAAGTGCCACCACCTATCACACACCTGACACACAAAAGGCAACTGGTAAACACTGCATTGACTAAAATGAACCGATTCTAAAAAAAATAAATAAAAATAAATAATAATAAAATAAAATTAACCAATTATGGCCTAGTTCTGCCTCCCAACATGATAACATGACTTTATTTAGGTAAATCACTTCATCTCACTGAGTCTCAATCCCAATCTGCGCATAGTGGGGGTGATGACACCAGCTATCCTCTTGGAATATATCAAGGACAAGTGAGACAATGCATACACACAGAATTGTGATCTGATCCGAAATATGCCTCCACGTTACTATCTCTCAAATATCTGTAGATACTAACATTCTAGTGAATAAAAAGCTGTACAGATATCCTCATTGGCAGTATTATTTTCAATTAACTAGGCACTAGAAATTGTAAGAACATGTATTTTTCCCAAAGGGGCTCAAAGCTATTTTCACTTACAATTTAAAAAAAGAGAAAAAGAACCCAGTCCACAGACATTTCTATTTTTCCTTAATTGGCCTTACTGAAGATAAAAATGACTGCAGGGCACCTGGCTGGCTCAGTCAATGGAGCGTGCGACTCTTGATCTCAGGGCTGTGAGTTCAAGCCCCATGTTGGAAGTAGACATTACTTAAAAAAAAATAAAATCTTAAAAAATTTAAAAAACATAAAAAAATAAAATAAAAATAAAAATGATCACAAGTCATCCAATTAGGGCTATTCAGAATTACTAGCTACAGAGCACGATCCTGCTGACTTTTTCTAAGCTCCCCCCATCCCCTGCACTGTTTTGGGGGCATAGAGGCTACCTGATGCTGTCTTCACATCCATTTGACAAAACGCTTTTGTATGTATTGTTATGCTAAGGACATTCTGAAATTTTGTGTTCTTTTCCATCCTTTTACATCAAGTTCCTTTTCAGTTACCTGAATTTATTTCTTGCTGTTTGCTCTCACTGGTTAAGGGGTTATCATACAATTTCAAGTATATTTCAATCGCTGATCTAGCAGCCTTGAAATAGAAGGCATGTCTTCTGAGTATATCTTCTAATCTCAAAAGGTCAACATAGGCACGAAGGGTCATCTTTCTCATGCAGTATGTATGGAAGTCAAATTGATCATCGGTTATCTCAAAAAAATGCTTCAAAGAAAACACAAAATTATCCCTTATATATATGTCAGTAATGTCTATTTTTTGAAAGAAAATCATAAAAAACCCCAAATACAATGTTAACAGTCACAGTTTCACTTAGTTGCCCCTCTCCACTGTTCAACACTACAAAGAACATCAAATTATTCTTTGCATTCAACTTAAGTTTCTGTTACTTGGCCATTCCCTGTATCACTTTTTGTGACGATACTCAATTTCTGTGTAATAAGTCAGATAATCAGATTTTTTTTAACCTTGAAATCAGTACATATTGATAATTTTGTTTTAGTGAAATATTTCTCCTCCATATTCCCCCAAAATGAGCAAGGCAGAGTTAAACGGAGCTCTGAATGAAGGTCAAATATACACAGGTTCACATTAAATGTTTACAAATCAGACTGTTCTACTCAACTTCGAGGACAAGCCCTGTCATCTCTATCCCTACTGCATGGCACAGGCCTAACATTCAATAAGCACAGTTTTTGCTAACTCAAGAGAGAAAATGCTTATCAGGCATGTGACCTCTTAATTTCCTACAGCTTCAATTATTTAAATTAGGTAGGAATAAAGAAATCCACATAGCCAATTTCATAAGGTTGTTAAGTGATCAAATAAGATAGTTTAAAAATTTCACTGAACACAGAGCATTCTAGCTTTTTCTCATTCAATAAACTCCCATTATTCTACCAACATTCCATTTTAGCAATGGTTCCTAAACTAGAGTCTATGTATAAATAAGCATAATAACATTGTCCTAAGCAGAGAGTTCAAGGCTTTGATCCAATTCCCAAAGGGTTCATGGCCCGAAAAGTTAAAGAACTAATTCCTTACATGGCAAGGAGATGATTAACAATTCAAAACAACTGATACTTTTGTTTTCTTTCCTATATGCCTCTCTGCCTCCATCTTCTTTCTATTCCCCTATTTTAGCTTCTCCAAAAATATACACAAAAATGAATGATTCAATACATGAATACAAATTAAGCTCTTCTGCTACTTCATCTCCCCTCTGTCCTGGGGGCCTAAGTACTAACTCACTGTGCAGAAGACACATTAGCAACTGTCCACATCATTTCATAATTTTATTTGTGTTGGTAATTAGAAATACACTACACACAGAATGACATTAAGTACCTGAGACTTTAAGGGAAGAATTCTAAGGTAAGAAGTATAAAAGTACACAGTGTGGAGGGGAAAAAATGGGAAAAAATAAACATTCAACATTAGTTTATAACTTCAAGAATCATGCTTTAATGTGTTATATTTGAAAATTGCACTCCTCCCACCAATAAGACAAATCAATTCATAAGTATCAACATAAACTTGTTTTTTTATCAAAGGATTACAGGTTTCATAAAGCTGTTCGTGGTTAATATAAATCAAGTTATGTCTAGCACCAAATCTTAAAATTCAATACAACTGAGGAAAAATGGCAGTGCCCCACATCAAGGAATACATAATGAGATGATAACATCTAAGAGATTACAGGACCTTTTTTTAAGTTAAGAAACATTTATGTGTAAAAGGCAGACACAAGTTTTAAGAGATACTCTAGCAGCTTTAGTAGACGTATATTCTAGGTCAAGTCTTAGAGGGAGCAGTAGAGAACCACAAACATTTAAGCCGCCTCTTTATCAGTAACAGCCCACAGGCTGCCTCTCTCCAGTTAGTCTTCCATATATAGGGTAACCAACTTATCCTGGCTAGCCTGGGGCTTTCTCAGTTTTTCCAAGGAAAGTCCAGTGTCTTAAGAATACGCTTTGCCCCGGGCAAACCTGGATGTTGATCACTCTATAGTAAGCTCATAGTTGTGGACAGGATATGGCCAGAGTTAATTAGAAAAAGTAGGATACTAACAAAATAATTTTCATTTGGGTAGAAACGCTATATTGTAGAATCCTTTTAAGAAACAACTAAATAATCTTAGCTTGATTTTCCTTTTTTTTTTTTTTTTTAATTTTTTATTTTCAACTATAGATACATAAGAAGTTACAAAGGTAGTGCAGAGATACCCTGTACACTGGTCTCTCAATTTCCTCCTAAGAGTTATATCCTCCATAATTATAGTGTGAGAACAAAATCAAAAACCTGACATTGATACAATGTGGGTATACAGTTCTAATGTGATTTTATCACATGTGTAGATTCGTGTAACCACCACAATCAAGACACAGAACTATTCCATCCCCACAAAGATCTCCCTTACACTATCTTGGGGTGATTTTTAAGTCTCTAGATTGATAAAACATAAAAATAAGCTAGATGACACAAACAGGTGATGTTAGCTTCCCCATACTTCAGCATAATACGGTCACTTATCAGCTTCCTGCAGAAACCAGGTAACCAAATTTTAATAGACAGCTCACACTCTTAACTCCATCTTCCCCTCATCATAAATTACTAGTTCTTTGGTGGGGGGGGGGGCAGGAATTGCTTAATTTGTCAAAATTAGGCTTGAATCAAAATAAGACGAGTCAGTAGAGAATAAAGAAATGCTATTTGTGGCCTAAGAGCACGGTTTCCTTTAGGAATTCCGTATTAGTCCCTCTCTTTTTACCCAGATTCCCCCACCCCCTTACTTCTCGGCAACCCTGGAGGAGCCCAACAAAAGGTCATATACAGAAAGTCAACAAAAACCTCCGATTTGAAAAATAATAATAATTAGATGAACTAGGGTAGTAAGCAACTCTACCCCCATTATAGAAAATCCATTATTATAAAGCACACATCAACTAGATAAAGGTTAAGATACGCTAGAAGATAAAGTTATGAACTGCCTATGGTTCTGATCTATCAGAAATCCTAGATCTTATCATAAAGTTTTAGAAATATGTATTACTGATCCATTTCAGACATAAATCAGCATACTAAAATGAGAAACTAATCCCTGGGAAAAAAGAAAAGAAAGAAGTCTTGAAATATAAAATTATTATGAACACATGTTTATATCTAGTATCATTAAAGATGGTTGTTTTGTTTTATTTTTAATAAACCTCCATGTCTAAACATCAGATTAGGCTGGACTTCATAACCTTTACATATAATCCTAAAATCCTATGAGGGCTGCAAGATGAAAGCAAAAAAAATACTATCCTGGGCCATTGTAGAATTCTAACATTACAAATGCAATTAACTAAAAGCTGTACATGTCATGGCTGAAACTGCCTTCAAGGGGAGAATTCTTGAGTAAGTTCTTGAAGGCAGAAGAAAGGCCTAGACCTTATTTGAACTTACATCCATATTCGCTGAAGGTGAAGGTTAACTGCAAAGTTTTACTTTTGAAAGGTCATCATTTCTTTACTAAAATATTTAAAATCCAGGCACAAAAGTAGGTCATGAAGATATTTATCACAATAAATCATTGAATTCTGTAATTACTCTTAAATCCTAACAAATTATATCATTAAGAATTCTTTCAGATTATGTTAATTTTATTAGAAATGAAATTAATAGGGGCGCCTGGGTGGCTCAGTCGGTTAAGTGGCCGACTTCAGCTCAGGTCATGATCTCGCGATCAGTGAGTTCGAGCCCCGCGTCAGGCTCTGTGCTGACGGCTCAGAGCCTGGAACCTGTTTCAGATTCTGTGTCTCCCTCTCTCTGACTCTCCCCTGTTCATGCTCTGTCTCTCTCTGTTTCTTAAAAAAAATTTTTTTTCAACGTTTATTTATTTTTGGGACAGAGAGAGACAGAGCACTCGAAACGGGAGGAGGGCAGAGAGAGAGGGAGACACAGAATCGAAACAGGCTCCAGGCTCTGAGCCATCACAGAGCCAAACTGGGCTCGACCCGGCAGGCACGGATCGCGGAGATTGTACCTGGGCTGGTGTTGGTGATTTTAACCGACTTCATTGTGCCACCCAGGCTTCTGTCTCCCTCTGTTTCAAAAATAAATAAACGTTAAAAAAAATTAAAAAAAAAAAAAAAGAAATGAAATTAATAGCATTACTAATTTAGTATTAATCAATCGGCAAATGTTTAATCACCCTATTTATACTAAGCACTCACATTTCTACATACACTAGAAGAGTTAAGTCTTACTTTTACTATGAATAACTCACTATAAAAGACTAGCTCACAAATGGCATTAAGAATAGGCTCTTCCCGGGGCGCCTGGGTGGCGCAGTCGGTTAAGCGTCCGACTTCAGCCAGGTCACGATCTTGCACTCCGTGAGTTCGAGCCCCGCGTCGGGCTCTGGGCTGATGGCTCAGAGCCTGGAGCCTGTTTCCGATTCTGTGTCTCCCTCTCTCTCTGCCCCTCCCCCGTTCATGCTCTGTGTCTCTCTCTGTCCCAAAAATAAGTAAACGTTGAAAAAAAAAATTAAAAAAAAAAAAGAATAGGCTCTTCCCTCACTTATCTGTGTCTGGTTCTTTCTGTCCTCAAGCACTAACAAATCCAAAACAGAAACAGTAAAGTTTCTAGAAATGATTATATAACATGACCAGAGGGCGACAATTTCTGCCTATTTTAATCTCTGATAGCCAATGGTTTTCTATTTTTTTTTCTTCAAAAATGCTTTCTACCAGTCAAATCCTATTTCTTGAACAAGAGACACAGTTTATCTGACATTACAGACTTTTATTTCATGTTACTCAGACAAAAGTCACTAAAAATTTAAGGGAGAGCATAATCTAAATGAAACTTAGTAATGGAAGAGCTATTAATCATATTCTAACAATCCTCAAGAAATACCACCAAGAGAACTATTGATAGTCATGAATATTAGGAGGGGTGGGGCTGAAGCTGGAGACACTCATAGTTATAATGACCCTAAGGATGTGCAAATTTCACTTTCACAGAAAATCTGGTAAATATCTAGTCATGCCCTTGCTGGAATTACTGATCCATAAGTGCCTAGTAGCTTCTTCATTCAGGAAACAATCTATTGCTCCCTGAGAATGTCCTGGGTAATAAGCATGTATCTTTCCTTAGTAACAAGAATGCTTTTAAAGTGCTGGTCATCTAAGGAATGTTGAAACAAACTGGTGATCTATGGTTTTATCACAGAAATAAGAGCTGGGTTTAAATTAGAATGCTTGGATATTGCCTAAGTATTTCGCATATCATCTGAGGGCTTTGTATTTTTCAAGGAGAAGATATGGATTTTCCCCCAGAGATATAGCCAACAAGCCCAGGCTCAAAAAGAAAAAAGCAAAGAAACCAAACAAAAACAAAAAACTAGGTTATTTCCAAAAGGGATCAGGTATAATCCTAGTTCCAGTTCCCAGCAAAAGCCACCCCCTAAGATTTAGGCTTTCTTTGGGTAACCTTGGAAGTTTCACATGGGGAAAAAGGCCAAAGTGACTGCTAGAGTGCAGACATCAGGCTCACCTGACTACGACGCCTGTGGTTTTATACTGCGTCAGCATGGGAACAGTGCTGCCGATTGACCCCACAACTGAGGGCTGCTGAGGACTGCCTCAGGGGTGCTTTTGTGGCTCTTTTCCTCCTGTTGTCCATTTGGAAGGAGAGTGCTTCAGAGATGACAAAGAACAGGAAAACAAAATTCACACAAAGGAAAAGAAAAGTCCCCTCACTAGGACACATCACACATAATCCTAAAAGCAAGTAATAAAATAAGCCTGCAAACCAGCCACAGATTGCTGTACAAAGTATCGGACGTGAGAACAAGTATCCTGGGAAGACAAACTGGAGAGAGGCTGGCTCCAGAGCAGATCCTGACATAAAGGGGAAAGAGGTGGCCATCAGCTTGTGTGTCCTTCTGGGCTAGTGAGGAGATCAAATAATGGCCGGATTAGGAAAAACAAATTTTGAATATATGTTAATAATAACAGTAATGGCTTGATAAATTCATCTTTTCCTTCTTCCCTCAGACCAAATTACGCAGACCTGTCTCAATCATAACCATTTGAGGATCAAAACAAAGCAATCACTTATTCACAACTTCTGAATGTTTGAAAAGCTAAAGACCAAGCATGTTTTTCACAGTGAAGTTTCCAAAGCAGAACAGGTAGATGATCCCATGTAGAAATCAACCTGCTTTTTTTGTCACCTTACAGGAGAAAAGTAAAGTCAAAGTTCTACAACTTACCCTTTCTACTTCATGGCATTTTTTCAAGGCATCCCCATATCTCCCCAAACGCTGGTAAGCTGAAATGCATTCTGTCTGAAACCACATGCATTGCATCTCATTTAGATTTTCCATAGCAGATGTTCCTTCCTGAAACAGAAGCATTCATAAATATAGGACACAAACAACAAAAGGAGATCCTAAAGACCTCATTTTCTCTTTTACAACTGTGGCTACAAGTATCATTATGACAATACATAGCAACAGACAAATAGCTCAAGGTTCTTCCAAAGGCTCCTACTGATGCGAAATTACATAATGCCTTATTTACCCAGCTCTGTTGGGGTATTCAACACCCTACCCAGAAAAGACTCCAGATTGCTGAAACTAAGTTTTTGAACACTTTTATTTAAAATATTTATTTATTTAAATATTTAAAATATTTAACAGTAATCCTTAGGAAGCACTGCTTATTTTCTTTTTAAGCAACCACTGCTTAACCTTTCCTTGCTGACTCGGTCACTGTGATGTACATCCAGTTACTGCTGAATCTGTTAGTTCCAGGGCTCCTTTGGTTTTCTGGTCTCCTCCCTCCACCTCAGGCTATCAGCTGGCACTATCTTTGTGTCCCTGGGTCTGCTTCTTGTTCCATACCAACTCCTCCCATTTGCATTAGGTTGACAAAGCCAAATAAGGGAATTTGTAAAGAATATCTGTTAACTTAGGGGCACATGGGTGGCTCAGTCCGTTAAGTGTCAGACTCCTGTTTTGGCTTAGATCATGATCTTGCAGTTGTGAAATTCAGCTCTGCATCAGACTCTGATCTTGGCATGGAGCCTACTTAATTCTCTCTCTCCCTCTCCCTCTGCCCCTCCCCTACACATCCTCTGTGTGTCTCTCTCTCAAAAAATAAAAACAAAAAATAAAAAGAATATTTGTTAACTTGGGTTCAATGAGAATTCTGAGAAGAGTGTAAGACCTAAAGTACCTAGTTTCAATGGAGGGCCACTGGAGTTTTATCACAATTTAGAAGAGTTATTTCAAATATATTTTATGTGACCCCAGGGAAAAATGGCAAAGATACATATTCATAAATAATTTCAGTCTTCAGTTCTTTTTCACACCCATTTTTTGTGACCTGTTCCAATTTCAGTATTCTCATTAAAAGTGTAAAAACTGGGGCGCCTGGGTGGCTCAGTCGGTTGGGTGTCCGACTTCAGCTCAGGTCACGATCTCGCGGTTCGTGAGTTTGAGCCCTGCGTCGGGCTCTGGGCTGATGGCTCGGAGCCTGGAGCCTGTTTCCGATTCTGTCTCCCTCTCTCTCTGCCCCTCCCCCGTTCATGCTCTGTGTCTCTCTGTCTCAAAAATAAATAAACGTTAAAAAAAAAAAAAGTGTAAAAACTGGTTATCTCTCAGTGAATGGAATTACGGGTGTATGTTATTTCTTCCTTATGGCTGTATATATTTTCCATCTTTTGGTGACTACATATTTTTGTAAGAAATCTACATTATTTTTCATTTCAAAATCTTTACCAACTAGAACTGTCCAGCTTGCATCAGCAACTCTGTACACAGGTTCTAAAACACTGAAAAATCTGCCAGAAGAAAATATGCACACTTCACTCACTTATTAATGATCAGATAGAATCACTTATAATCAGACATAAACTGGTTATTTGAGGTTAGCAGTCTGCCTCTGCTGGCTCACTCCCTGGGCTATCCACCACACGTTCTGGGCCCATCTGGCCCAGGAACGAGGGTGGCTGAGCAGACCCAGGTCTCCATCCAGCAGGACAGCTTGTCAAGAGTGAATTACCAGAGGCAATTCTGACACGCCAGCTGAGCCACGGGGTTTGATGACTCCTCTCCTCAAACAGACAACCATTCCCCTTCTTCATTCTGTGGTGCCTTTTCAAACACATCCTGGTTGTCTGTGACTTGGGTGCATATGTGTGTGTGTGTGTGTGTGTGTGTGTGTGTGTGTGTGTGTGTTGGTTGGTTTTTAAAATCACTGGACTTGATCTAGTTAAGAAGTTTTGTATATTCATTTTATTTTTTTTTAGTATTTATTATTTGGGGGAGAGCACAAGGTGGGGGAGGGGCAGAGAGGAGGACAGAGGATCCAAAGCGGGCTCTGCCCTGAGGCTGACAGCAGCGAGGCGGATGTAGGGTTCGAACTCACAAACTGTGAAATCATGACCTGAGCCGAAGTCGGATGCTCAAGAGACTGAGCCACCCAGGAACCCCTGTATATTCATTTTAATTGCACTTTCCTTCTGATCTCTGCTTTGGCTTCCAGGTGGTACTTTCCTGCACAGACACCGTCTGCTTCTGTATCTACTCCTGTACTTCTTACCGTCTCCAAATCTGTGCCGCAGGGCAAAGGGCATCAAAGAGTTTGAACCCCTGTACTATCTACTACATGACCCCTTCAGAGCCTCACCCACCTTGCTGCAAAACGTCAGACAAACACATGAGTCAGTGGTAGGTGAACATGAACACTAAGACGATTTTGCTCATTTTAGTTTTCTTCTCCTAATACCCATCACTCTTGCTACTTCTGTCCCTCTACATTACATCTACCACTTCGCAATCTATTGATCCTGTGGTGTGTGAATTTCTGAAACACTAGTCACTACAGTTTCTGCTCCTATTACCATTCTAAAACATGGGCTTTAGTGTCAGAGACTGCTAAGCTAGAATCCTGGCTCCAAAAGGAATGACTAGCTGGGTGATCTCCAATGGGCACAGTACCTGACTTCTCTAAATATTTTCTAACTATAACATGGGAGTAATGATATCAGAGGACTGATAGGATTAAATGAGATTATGTATATAACATACTTAGCTCAGTGCTTAATAACTGTTAAAGCTACTTTCCATTTCCCCTTACAAATGGTATACAAATTATTAGCATTACTCTAAATATGAGAAAGGAGAGCTCAGGCAGGTTCAGATGCAAAAGCCATTTTTATGATGAGAGAGAGAGAACAGATGGGTCTATAAGTAGTAGCCTTTAATGAAAACTTAAATGTCTGTACATACACACACAGAGCTCCCCCCCCCCCCTCTCTCTCTCGAGGGGAGAGAGCGAGAGCTGAGAGGGACAGCGAGAGCTGTGTGTGTATGTACATTTAAGTTTTCATTAAACGCTACTACTTATAGACCATCTGTTGTCTCTCTCTCTCTCATCCTAAATATACAGGACATGTATTTCGTATACAGTAAAACCTTGGTTTGTAAGTATAGTTCATTCCGGAAACATGCTTGTATTCCAAAGCATTTGTTTATCAAAGCGACTTTCAAGAACCATTGGCTCAGTTGTGATCATGTGATGTTCAGCATCACGTACCACTCATATTGCAAAACATTGCTCATTTATCAAGTTAAAATTTATTAGAAATGCTCGCTCGTCTTGTGGAACACTCGCAGAACAAATTACTCGTAATCCAAGGTTTTGCTGTATGTGATCCATATGTATACATAGGAGATATGTGTATATATGATATATATGACATATTATTTACCAATACCTACGAATACTTATGCCACTTTGATGGTACGAAATGAGATCTTATTGTTTCTTTAATTACTAATGCAAGCACCTTTTTTGGCCATTCCATTTTCCACTTGTGTAAGCTAACTATTCACATCCTTTGCCCATGTTTCTCTCATCTTGTCTTTCTCTTATTGAGGTTTAGTGTGTGTGTTTTTGTTTCTATGACATTCTTGTAAGTAGTTAAGATTTCACAACAGAATTCAAGCTATTCTGTGACTTCTAAATTATAAGCAGTTTTGACAAACACCCAAACACAACCAGAATCTAGTTAACATTTAAGGGAGGTGGTACGCTGGGACTGCATGAGGAAAACATTAGTATCACAGGGCACAGGGGTAACTTACTTTCATCCTAAATTACTCACAAACACCAGCAATAAGGCCCTCCATTGTATACATAATGTGCACTCAGAGGTTAAAGTTATTTATTCCAAGGGTATCTTAATTAAAACTTGGAAATTAAACTTGGAAATGTGGTTTCCTCTTTATGCCTCAATGTCACATTCAATGTGTATTAAGGAACTATTTCAGTGAATTTTTTGTGGAGTTCTTTATAAATTCTTTTTTTTTTTTAATTTTTATTTTAATGTTTATTTTTGAAAGAGAGATAGAGCACAACAAGCAGAGGCAGAGAGAGATGGTGACACAGAATCTGAAGCAGGCTCCAGGCTCTGAGCTGTCAGCACAGAGCCCAATGTGGGGCTCAAACCCACAAACTGTGAGATCATGACCTGAGCCAAAGTCAGAGGGCCAACTGACTGAGCCATCCCTTATAAAATCTTAGTCCATCATATGGTTTGGAAATACCTTCTCCAATTCTATGGCCTACCGTCTCATTTTGTTTATGGTTATTCCTTGTTATATGTACACTTTAATTTTTAATATGGTCAAATATATCAATTTTACCCTTATACTTAAATTTTTTTAGTTTCTTAACAAATGCTTCCTACCTCAAACTCTAAAGATAAATTTTAATACTTTCTTTAATCAACCTGGAATCTATTTGTGTGCAGGAGAAGAATGTCATTTTATTGTTGTCAGTTGTGCCAGCAATATCTTTTCATCTCTGATTCTGAAAGCACCTGTGGCTATATACCAAGTTTCCAAATACATGTCAATCTGTTTCTGAGCTTACTATTGTGTTCCATTAGTCTACATATATTTTGAACCATAAACTTACTATTTTCATAATGAGATAGAAAGTTCATGTGGAAAAAGAGATGTACAGATGGGGAAAGAGGGACAAGAAAGGAACAGATGTTCAGCCCAACAATTTCAGAGAACTTAAATTCTGAAATGTCAGAAATTATAGCTCGAAGAGGCTGGTTCTACATAGAAAAAGCTCTATGGGCAATTCAAAAGAAACTGAAAAGAGAAATAAAAAGCAGCCACAAATTACTAATGAGACAAAAGAGTTGTGAATTGAATATTACATATAAGCACTGAAGTCTGGTATACTGCTTATTTTTGTATAATGATACTGTGCTCCTGTCATTGTCTTTCAACCGTCCCCCACCAGAAGCACATGCATACACACACTGAACCACAGTAAGAAACCATCCTTAGGACACAAGCTAGATGGGATTAATAAAAATAATGACAAAAATGAATTCTTATGAACTTTAGTGGCAAACTTCACAAATCATCATAGAGCTTAAGTTTAATTGTACTAACTCAGAAAAGTACACACTCGCATATGGCATTTCTTACCCTTGTGAACTTGGAACACATTTCCTCTGCTTCTTTTATCATGTTTGCTCGAAGCATATATTTTGCACATTTGGAGTTGATGAATCTATCAGCTGTGTCCAAAGACTGCGCTTCATCCATCCACTTTACAGCTTCTTTGAGATTACCTATATGCTTTAAGAAATGAAAGCATTATTAAAGAAATCACAGTATTTGTTATTAAAAGAATATGGGTGAATATAAATAGAAAAAAATTATACAGACAAACTAGAAATCTGGTACCATTTCTGTCTAACTTCTCTAGAAATCCTTAGATAAGTTATAATTTACATTTACTAAGAGATGATTCAAGTAATTAACACTGATTATACACTGCTTATACAACTATGTAACATAAAACTCCCTAGGACTATTAGAGTATTAGAAATAGATTATCAGGGTACCACAGAAGTTATTTCTATATGGAAAAAACTCCAAGGGTTCTTAAAGTAGCCAAATTCTTCAGCTATTCAAAAAACATGACTAGGATTTTACCTTGTAAATTTTTGCCTTCATATAGAATAATTCTATTAGAGTGGGAGTACCAGCAATTGCAGCATTAATGTAATCCAAAGCTAAAGAATAATGCCCAAGTTTATCAAAATGCTGTGCCAGGAAATACTGAACCCAGAGAAGTGTTGTCGGGGGTTCCTTCTCTCCATTTTCTGCAATCAAACAAATATAAAATTATTATAAAGAAGAAGGCAAAGTAAAGTAAATCATATACTTTCTCTCCCTTAATGCATGATGAAATTAATAATTATTATAAGAATAAGCAGTAAAAAAACCCAGAAAAATGACCAATGTCAACAGAGAGAGGTAGGACTTTATGCCATAAAGTTCAAAAAGTAGCAGCCGGGAAGAGAAACAACATGCTGGTTTCACAGACTTCTGACCTCTACTTCACTCCGAAGAAACAGTGCTGGGGAAAAGAGGTGAATCAGTCTAACCTGATGCATTCTCCGGCTCAGAACATAAGGCAGCAGGCCCAGAAAAATCAAGGTCACAGCGTGGTGAACAGATGTCCCTAAATACCACTGCAAGACTGTCACAAAGACAAGAACTGCCAGGGCTTTGCACTTCCTAAGACTCAGCCCCAAATCAGGGAAACCCCAAGTTGAAGGGTATGAAGATACCTTCCTGACAAGGTGGAATTAGCCCTGCCACGTGACAAAAGCAGTCACACACAGTCAGCTGAGCTCCATGCCATTCCTCAAGCTACAGAAGAGTAGATAAATAAATATCAAGCTCCCAAAATGGATTTTAAAATGGATACAGGTATGAAATCAGGTAGAAAAAGTAGAATGGAGGATTTACCCATACCACAGAAAAAAACAAGTTTTGTAAACACAGAAATTAACATAAATTAAAACAAATAATAAAGGAAAAAGACAAGCATTTATCTTGTTCTTCTTATATAAACTATATCTCAGGGAAACCAAATATTTGATAAAGAAAATTTCCTTTTTAAAAAAATTTTTTTAATGTTTATTTTTGAGAAAAAGAGAGAGAGAGAGAGAGAAAAAGACAGACAGAGCACAAGCAGGGGGAGAGGCAGAGAGAGAGGGAGACACAGAATCTGAAGCAGGCTCCAGGCTCTGAGCTGTCAGAGCAGAGCCCAACACAGGGTTGAACCCACGAACCGTGAGATCATGACCTGAGCCTAAACCAAAGAGTCAGACACTCAACCAACTGAGCCACCCAGGCATTCCTGATAAGGAAAAGTTGTTTATAAGAGAATTCTAGCTATTATAAATGCAGAGGGGAAATGATTATAGAATAAAAGGGATTGAGGCAGTGATCCTCAGTGACTGCTAAAATCATTAGGTAAGAGGAACTTTTTAACCAGCAGATCAGGCTGTAACATCTGAACCCTGATCAATCTTCACATCACAAAGACAAATAACCAGAATGTCTTCTGCCTCCAGATGTGATACAACAGGAAGTACAAAGCATCACATAAGAAGTATTCACAAGGAACCTGGATCTAATCAAGCCTGTAAATCTAACTAGAAGTTCACATGAAATCTGGATAGCAAAATATATTAAATGATACCAGGAGAAAGTATTCAGCCAAATCCATAATATGGGACATTCCAAAATACAAATGACCTACTACAAATAGTGATTGTAGTTTTTTTAATGGCAGGAGGTTAATTATCAAGATTAAAAAATTATCGGAGACATAACCAAATATAAAGTGTGGACCTTTGCTAGAACCAGATTCAAATAAGCCATTTATGCAGAGACAGTTTTTGAGGAAACTGGGGAAATTTACATTTGGACTGGGTATTAGATATTAGGATATGAGTGTTAATACTATGTGAGATAGCACTGTGGTTCTATCTTCTGTTTAAGTGTTTTAAACAGAGATGTACACTAAGGTACTGACAGGTGAAACAGTATGTCTGCTTTAAAAATACCCTAGAAATGGGGGCCTGGGTGGCTCAGCTGGATAAGCATCTGACTCTTGATTTTGGCTCAGGTCATGATCTCATGGTTCATGAGTTCGAGCCCCACATCAAGCTCTGTGCTGACGGTATGGAGCCTGCTTAGGATCCTCTCTTTCTCTCTCTCTGCTCCTCCCTAGCTCATGTGTACACACATGTGTGCTCTTTCTCTCAATAAATAAATGAACATTAAAAAAATACCCCAGAGAAAAAACTAGACAGGAGATAACTTTACATAATACTGGCAAAATACTGGTAATAGAGGCTGGGTGAAGGGGACACAAGGGTTCATAATTCTATTTATTTCTGTTTCTGTTATTTCATTATGAAATTTATTTCAAACAAAAACAAAAGAGCAATAACATGTAAAAGATACATGAAGAACTCAGACTAAAGTTACCGTCTGCATGACTGAAAGCATTCTAGAGTGTTTTCTAAACTAAGATGCCTTGAATTACACATGTCCCTACAAAGAGAGAAAGAACCAAATCATTCAGAATTTAAAAAAAAATTTTTTTTAATGTTTATTTACTTTTGGAGAGAAACAGAGCATAAGCGGGGTGGGGGCAGGGGGAGCAGAGAGAAAGGGAGACAGAATCCGAAGCAGGCTCCAGGCTCTGAGCTATCAGCACAGAGCCCGACGCGGGACTCAAACTCACGAAATGGGAAATCATGACCTGAGCTGAAGTCTGATGCTTAACCGACTGAGCCACCCGGGTGCTCCTAAATCATACAGAATTCAAAGTAACGAACTAGTAGAAAGAACAGAGAAGTAGGAATTTGGGAAAAAGAGGTTTCAGTGTAAACTAACTATATGACTTTAAACAAGCCACTTAACCTCTGAAGCGCTTACTCTTGTTAAAACCGAGTTAGCTCCCACCTCACAAGATTGTGGAAAATTTAAGTAAGATCGAAAGTGATCTTCTCAAGGGGCACTGGGGTGGCTCAGTTGGTTGAGCGTCTCTTGATTTCAGCTTAGGTCATGATCGCAGGTTTGTGGGATCAAGCCCTGCCTCATGCTCCTCCCTGAACATGGAGCCTGCTTAAGATTCTTCCTCTCTCCCTCTCCCTGCCTCCCTCTCTCTCACTCCCTGCCTCCCTCTCTCTCTCTCCCTCTCCCCTCTGCCTCTCTCCCCAACTTGTGTACTCTCTCTTTCTCAAAAAAAAAATAAATAAAAGAAAGTGCTCTTTTCATTTATTAATTCAAAAACAAAAACTATTTAGTAAATAGGTATCGTGTAGCACATACATAAAATATAAGTTAGTTTTACTGTAAGTGATTAAAAATGGATTGAAATGAGTATTCAAATTCCAGTTTAATCTAATTTAAACTTACCATAAGGGCTAAAAAAGTCACACGTTTTAAGAGAGGCTTCATAATTCGTAACAAGCTCCTGGATTATAGAAATCTGTTAAAGAAACATAGTTTTAAATTTTAAAAATATTTTATTGAAGGTTATTTATATTTACTATGGAGTATATTAAATTTGGAAACAATGTGAAGGTTATTTCAGGACTATAAATTAGCTATTAATATGTCTATTTCTCCCCTCCCCCCCCCACCCCATCCTGTGAGGGGAAAGGAAGAAAAACACAGAAAATATACTGCTCTTTATTAATAGTAAAACAGCATCTCAGTCCTCAATCTCCCATCTCAGTAAGTAGCTTTGAGTTTTCAAAGGACAAATCATAACTAATTACTACAAAACCTTTTTTTTTTTCCAACATTTTGCCTTTTGCTTCTCATGGTTATATTGTGAAGTTGTAAACCATTACATATTCAGATTTTCTAAAGCCACTCATAACAAAAAACTCAAGTGCAGTGACCCAAATGACACAGTGAATTGATGGAAAAGGTGAAGTAAACTCCTAAGCAGATGTTTAAACCCCCTTAATTTTTAGTGATCATTTTAATAAAGAGTTACATTTCAACACTCCCCTCAAGTAAGGACTGAAATACTAGAAACCACACTGTTAATGTGCTATGCCCTGAAAGAGGCAAACTAAAAGTGACATGAATTAGAAGTGGCAAAAGAAAAAAAAACAGCTTTTATGTATAACTGATTTTAAATGCCTATTGATGTTAACTGTTCAGAATAAGTTGAAAAAATAGAACTATCTTACTTGTGAAGTCCAAAAAAAGTAATGATTTAAAAGTGAAGGGAACCCATTAAAACGCTTAATAGTATCTGACAAATATGGTATTATTTTAATTGCGATAATTTTTTAAGTTTTCTAGTTTTAAAACATGGGATGCTGCTAATACCACCAGACAAAGGGAACATACCAGACAAGGGAACAACAGTAAGAAGCCACGAACTGTCACAAGCACTTTACATGTATTAAAGTAATAATTATAGGGGCGCCTGGGTGGCTCAGTTGGTTGAGCGTCCGACTTCAGCTCAGGTCATGATCTCATAGCTCATGAGTTCGAGCACTGCATTGGGCTCACTGCTGACAGCTCAGAGCCTGGACCCTGCTTCAGATTCTGTGTCTCCCTTTCTCTCTGCCCCTCCCCCCGCTCATGTTCTGTTTCTCTGTCTCAAAAATAAACATTAAAAAAAAATTATAAGTAATAATTACAGTCAACCCTACATGGCACTGTTTTAGGTACTTTACTTATATTAACTCACTTGTCCTCCAAACAACCCTATGATAGTATATACTACTATTAACTTGAACTTATAGGCAAAAGGAAAATAAAAATAAGCTGAAAGTATACAACAGTGGAGCCAAAATTTAACCCAAGTAATAAGGCTCCAGAATTTAGCTTCTGACTACTTGCTGTATCAATCAGTGGATGGGACGTGGCACATTTATAACTAAATGGCAATTCTCTCAGATTCACAGGGGGTGCAATAAGACTATAGACTAATAATAACAGGGCAAGAAACTTTCCCCAATCAGTTTTAGTGCTCAAAACACCAAATGGTGCACATTAAATCAGCCAGAGCATGGAAAACATACTAAGTGCATCAAAATTAGAGAGGGGGTAAGCTTTAAACACACATACACACACACACACACACGAGGGAAACAGGAAGGGGAAAATATACAAGAGAGAAAAAAAGTAAGAGAAGGTTTAGGAGGGACAAGCTTAGTACACTCTGATGTGGCATTAAGGCACATATCTACAAATACACATTTCCAAATTGAGTGCCCAAAGAATGTTATTTTTTTTTATTCTAATATTTATTTTTGAGAGAGAGACAGAGACAGTGAGACAGAGCAGGAGTGAGGAGGGACAGAGAGAGACACACACAGAATTGGAAGCAGGCTCCAGGCTCTGAGCTGTCAGCACAGAGCCTGATGTGGGACTTGAACTCACGAACTGTGAGGTCATGACCTGAGCTGAAGTCAGATGCTTAACTGCCTAAGCCATCCAGGCGCCCCCCAAAGAATATTATTAATAAGTTCTTGAAATTGAAAGAAGTTCTGTTCTGTCTGATCTGGGAGTGGGGGTAGGGTGTGTTTCAGAGGGACAAGCCAGCCAATCAGTCTCTCTGGGAAGTCCTAACTACCTACTTTCAGGGCCCTGTAAAAGTATTATGATCTCTAACATCAAATGTTGTTAGTAAGTCTGTTATGTTAGTAAATAAACCATGATCTCTTTTTTCAAGTTTGTAAACATTAGGACAATCTAAAAATGTGAAAATATAAAATTAGCAAGTGACTGCATCCATTTATGAATCCTTAGCATATCTACAAAAAAAATGAAAAAGGCTTAGTGAAATTTCACATGACTGTTAGCAGCCTTGGTAGGCAAAAAGTGAGAATCTCTACTTAAAACGATTAGCGGTTTTCCTACCCAAATTCATTGATCTACCTACTATTAAAATAAGATCTGAAATCTTACTATTTCATAAAAATTGAAACTTTAGACATTTTTATTTTCAGAAAGACAATTATATTCCTTTTCTTTCCCTAGACCTCTTTATAAACTAACCAAAATTCACTATATTTCTAGTGCCACTGGAGAGCAGACCATGTATCAAAAATTCCTAAACAGATTTTGATATGTATGGCTACAAAAGAAATCTCTTCACACATTCAATGTAACATAAGATAGTATGCTTTAATCATATTAATTCTGAATCCAAATTAGAACCCCACCCCACAGAGTCACAGGGTATAGTATCCATGAAGTCATGGACCATCCCACTGGCATCAGTAAAAAAAAAAAAAAAAAAAAAAAAAAAAAAAAAAAAAAAAGACCAAATTAAAACACTTCTACATGAGATAGCATCATATGGCATAATTCTCTAAGATAGAAGGCAACAGGGAAATAGGTGAAATTATACATTCATAGTGGGGAAAAATATGTAAGTAACAAAAAAAAAAGAGAACATGAAAAGAATTTGCACACATTATGACTTCACTAAAACATGTTATGTATAGATACATACTCAGCAAAAATGTGACCAAATGGTTTAGGGTAACAGAATACAGGTACATTCTTTTGAAACACAATAATCATGCTGTTTTGTATTAATAAGGCTTTTAAATGAAGATTATTTAAAAAGAGTAGTACTTGGAGTGTCTGGGTCGTTCAGTTGTTTAAGCATCCGACTCCTGATCTCAGCTCAGGTCATGATCTCACGGTTTGTGAGATCAAGCCCCATGTGAGGCTGTGTGCTGACAGCACAGAGCCTGCTTGGGAGTCTCTCTCTTGCCCTCTCTCTGCTCCTCCTCCACTCATGT